AATATAAAATACTAATAGTGGCCATTCGGTTACTTTTATTATTGGAAATTGTTAGTGATATCATATAGAAAATTACTGTAGTATCAAAATTATCAATATCCATTTTGTGAAAAGAGAGCCTGCTGCTGAGTGGTACTGTGAGGTTGCCGTTAAGGGCCTGATCGGGTGGTTGTGTCGCACATATTAGACCAGTTGTGGGTGAGTTCGGGCCCACACTCGTAGTGACGAGTCATGTGACAGTAATTACTTATTAGTTATTAGTAATCACTGGTTACTATCTCTAAAGCGGTTTTTGAAGGGATTTTTAGTAATGATAAATATATTGAAAACTCCATTCAATTGGTTTATCGTTAATATGTTGAGAGCGTCGACAAAGTCCTACATTTTGGACGATATGACTACAAGTTCTCTAAATGTCTGGTCGTTAACTATACGGAGTTTCCGTCAAACGGATTGGAGGTCCATATGCGCCAAACCATTGCTGCGAATCCATGCCATACCTTTGGCATGTCCTTAAAATTAAGAATTTGAGTTTTAAATGAAATTTGGATTTTATTGATTGATTATATTGAATTTTAACATGATTAACATGCAATATTTTCACTTTACTCTAAACTTAGTAATTTTTTTAGGATATAAATTCAAGTTTGGACATCCTACTTTATACAATAAACAAAATGGTTGAACGCATGCCTGCGGTCTAACAACCTGAAGGCCATTGACAGCGAACTTAGGGTCACAGGTGAAGGTCATAAGCAAAGCATATCGAGTCCCAGAGGTGACCCTTTCGAAGAAGTGCTCGTTCTCTGAGCCAGAGGTGAACGCCGCGACTCTTCCGAACTTAGGCTCAATTGTTTGGTTCGACATCTCGTCGGTGAATATAAAGCGTCCGCCGGAGAAGTCCGCGCCATATGTCGACAAATACAGCAAAGAAGTGAAGTCAACGAACTTAACGTTTTGTTTGTCGACGTGTCGGCGCCAATACTCGTTGTATTTGTTTTGGGGGTTCTTTGCTCTTCGAAAGAAAGTATGAGCCGTTAAGTAGAGCTGAGCCGAAGGGATGCCGAAATGAATTGCAATCCGTTTGCGGATTTTGTTGGTCACAGTTCGGTAGACTTGTAAGTCTTTTTCGGTGAACAGCTCTTTTAGATCCTTTTCCTTTCGTTGTGTCCTTTCAATGAGTTTATAGATATTCACGAAATTATTTGCCATCGAAAGGACGCCCGTATGTAAGCAAAGGATAGTGCTGCCGCCTGAAGAGCCGCCCAATGATAGGCCTCTCTTCGCCACTAACAACAAGTGTTTGGTTTCCGATTCAGTGATCACCGAATCGGACACAAAACGTCCGCATCTTTGAGGAGCACAAGACGGGAACCGAACTCTGTCTTCGTTATAGTCTTGAGAACACATCACTTGCCGTCTGATCGGCGAATCTTTTATGGATTGAGTGGCCGAAGCCATCACTAGTTCTTTGGTGTCATTGCATTGAGTGGTCGTGTAGTAAATCATCAAAAGTATAGCAATCGAGAGCGCCATTACACTCATCACTCGCTTCATAATACTCTGGTTTTGTGGTCTTTCGAGCGACACTTCTCGAGACACCATTCGACACATGTTCTCCTCATTTGTGTCGCCATTCCTATTGACAACTCTTTCACGTCGATTGAGTCCATCCGAAGACATTGTGATTAAATGAATTGATAATTCAATCAAATATTCTAAATGTAATTAAATATCAGACTCGGAAAATGTTTTGTCAGTCACATTAAACTACTAAAACTACTCAAATTGAAAATAATTATAAACAAGGTTGCAAGCAATGCTATAGAAACCCGCATTTACATTTAAGCGATTATAGAGTCAATTATAATTTCTTAAATTTTAGATTATTTAACGGTAATCAATAAGCATATAAAATTATGTAGATAACAATTAAAATTGTCTTTTGAATTAGCTTTATAAACTAAAATTAGTGAGAAGGAAGTGATTGTTGATAATAGGAGTTCAGGTGGGAAGGGTAGGGGAAAGGGAGGGAGGGAAGGGAGGGAAAGAAATGTTATATTTTAAATCATATGTTGGTCTGATGGGATTAATATGTGTCTAGTGGGATATTCAGCACTTTTAAGGTATCTTAACATTTTCAAGAAATTTTGAAAATTTTCAAACCATTGTTGTGAAACTGGAATATATACACCTCAGTTTTATAGTATTTGGTAAAATTTATTGCACCAAATCTGTTAAAATGACGTCATTCCATTATAAGTCTATGGGATTTTTGTTCCCGCAAGTGTGCAATTTCACATAAAGTAACATTCTTTAATTTTGTCGTCACTTTCCCATAGACTTAGCATAAGCCTGGAATCATATGCGACATTTTGCCATCGAAAACACTTTTGCCCACTTTTGCTGGGATTTTCCATAGAAAAAACCTTTTATTGTTTTTCAATTGTTGCAATAAATTTCCATTATATGTCTATGAGGGTGACGCAGCGTGACGTCATTTTCGTCATTAATGACGGGCGGGGGAGGTGGGGGTGGTCCAAACCGATCTTATAACCCACACTTTTACTTCGTAAATGCGGGTAAAAATTTGTGAACAACTGTAAAGAATTTTTTACTTAATTGTATACAATTTTGTATTATTCAAACAAGTTCTTGATTAAAGTTTATTTATTTATTTAACTTTTTTACTACGTAAATGTGGTTTAAAATAAAAATATATGATTAAAGTCTGGCATTCACTCTTCAAAGTGATATTAATTAATTTATAACTACAAGTAAAAGATTGTAAATAATTAATTTAGTATAATAATTTAAATAGCATTGGCATAAATACGACATTACATTTTCCTAATCCTAATATATCGTAAACCAAAGGTATAGGCGGCTAAACGTCAGTAGAAAAGTGATCGAAAGGTCAACTCATATGAAATATGATCCGATTTTGTTTGATTTGAAAAGAGGACAAATAACTTAATCATTGATTTACAAAAAATAGTAATCAAGTTTTAAATTAAAATATATATAATTACTATATTATCATATTATTACAAAACAGTTGATTGATTGAACAATTACAATGTTTGTCTTATTGAAGATTGTCGATCATATGGATCGCATGGTTTGCGAAATTCCTGTCCCATCGCTCGGACCAATTTGGTGGCAATCCATTTGTGTCCCACCAGTACAGGACACCCGCTGTGCAATAGCTGTCGATCGCGTTCACCTGATTTGTCCAAATTGTACCAAAATATTGCCGAGTATTTTGTGGGCCAAACGGTCACATTGATGAGCGGGAATACAGTGGCCCCACCGGCACCCACATCGCTCAGGTAGTTGAGCCACGTAATGATGGGCACACTTACGGTCAGTGATCCGTTTGGTTTGAGTATAGACACGTCGGCATCGTAGTGGTCGTCAGCATACCCTCCGACACCATATTTAATAACTTTGTATGAATCGGGAAAATCCATGTTAAGGCCAGTGATGGCACCGATACGTCGGTTGATTGTCTGCAGAAGTTTATGTGTTCTTTCCCATAGACGACAACCATTCCCCAGTCGGACGCCAACTATATTGACAGAAATATTAGCTGGTCTCCCAGTATTTGATCTCTTGAATGATTGCTGAGCCAAAGAGATGATAGTTTGTGTCTCGTATTCAGACAGGAATTCATGGATTACAACGATTTGCGGACTTTTGTACATCTCTTCCACTTTAATGCGAGTCAACCGTAAAAACGGTGTTTTCGTTGTGTTTAAGTAA